AAAGATTGGTGGTTCAAATCCACCCAGCGGCACTGGGGAAGAAAGGCTTGGCAATCTGCTCCTGTATGATTACAGCCAAGAAAACCCTGTGGAGCACAGTTCTACTCTGAAGCACGTGGGGTCACCATGAGCCGGAATCGACTGGACTACAATGGGTTTGGTTTTTTGTTTTTTACAATATGCTTGTTACTGAGTGAAGGAAGTGGGTAAAATGAATGAGGCCGACCCAACCCCTTCCCCCAGGAAGCTTACATTCTAAGGCTGTCCTGTGAGTGTTCACATAAAAGGTGAACACACATACAAATGCATACGTCTACATCGCAACAGGTGGGTGTAAAGGAAGCAAACAGTATACGAGATGGAGAGTAATCTGGGGGCAGCTCACCAGGTAAGGGGTGCGGGGAGGCTTCTCTGATGAGGTGGTACTTAAGTCGGGCTCTGGACGCTGAGAAAAAGCCAGCCAGTGGGGAGAGAGCGTTCCAGGTGGAGGGGACATCAAGGCAAAGGCCTAGAGAGAGAAAAGAAACTTGTGGGAGGAATTGGCCGTCTTAAGGGCGCAGGAGGGTCAGCCTCTCTTATTCACACCCCAGCGAGACCAGGTGGCCTGAGGCTGAGGTAAGGAGGAGGCAGGCCGGGCCTTTCCAGAGGGCACCAGACAGGGTTCTGGCCAACCGTTAAACTTAACAGCCTCTGATCTGTTTTTAGCCTTCTGCCCCACCAGCCGCCTCCCTGAGTCACCACCCAGTTACCAGCAGGGGTGGAGCAGGGTGTTAGGCACCTCTGGACCTGTGGGGTCATTCCTGCTCCCTATTGCCTCCCCAACACACACAGTGGCTGGACATTCCGTGGGGGTAAATCAGGTTAAGGGGACATACTAGGGGCCCAAATATTTATTTTATTACGGTTTCCGTGTGCCAGACTCTGTTGTGAGTGCTTTACAAATATTAACTCATGTAATCTCACAACACCTCATGGGGGTAGGTTCTGTGAGTGTTCACATTTTACAAATAAGGGAAGCACAGAGAGGTGAGGTAACTTGACCAAGGTCACACAGCAAAGAATTGGTTGAGCTGGGATCTGAACCCAGGCAGTCAGCTCCAGAGCTTGGGCTCGTAACCACTACATACACGTCTTCTGACAGCCTGGCCTACAGCTTGACGAGTGCCTGTGTGGGGAGTGGATGTTTTGGCCTGGATTCCTGGGTTCCATACACTCCCTGCAGGCAGACGTGCCAGGCTGGACAAAACAACCTCTCCCTTCTTCCTCATCCCTGTGGCAGCCTCGGAGCGCCTGCCCCTCTGCGGGTGAGGGTCTCCCCACCTCTGGCCAGGGCAGTGTCTGGGCTGTGGGAAGGAGTGTCGAGCTCTGGGCTTTGGAATGCTATGAACCAGGGAAGGAAGCGGGTGGGCCGGTAAGCAGGCGGGGAGATAAGATGTGGGGGGTGGAGGAGCCAGGCAGAGGAAGGCCCAGCCCTGTGGGCAGGGGTGGATAACGGGAGGCAGGAAGACCTTGCCACCTTGCCCCAGGGAAAGCAAAGGGCAGAGGAACAGCAGGTGAAGAACTTCCTGACAGTCCTTCAGAGCTGCCAAACGGTGGTGAGAAGGGGCTGCCTCTGAAGGCGTCAGCACCCTTTTCCTGGGTGGGTGTGAGCAAGCCGAAACTGACATCCACTTGAGGTCATAGAGGGGGTTCAGAAATCAGATGTCTTTTCAACTCTGCTATTTCAAGAATCTGAGCTGCTGTGATTAAGAACCTCTGGAATAATCTGAAAGTCCACCAATTCTACCATTTTAGGATTTGATTTAGCCTAACTCTGCAAGGAGTTAGGAGTCTGTAGGAGTCCCTGGGTGGTGCAAACAGATAAGCGCTCAACCACTAACTGAAAGGCTGGCGCCCAGAGGCACCTCAGAAGTAAGGCCTGGCAATCTGCTCCCAAAAGGTCACAGCCTTGAAAACCCTATGGACAGTTCTACTCTGCACACACGGGGTTGCCATGAGTCGGAATAGACTCGACAGCATCTAATAACAATAACTCTGCAAGGCAACTCAGTACCTTTCTGCTGCTCTAACCTGCTGAGCAGAGGGGCTGGGGTCCCCTCCTGGAGACAGAAACACCTCCAGTGAGGAAGATCCCTGAGGCAGTCAGGTTTGATGACGCCCGTCCCCTAAGAGCCATATACAGTTAAGGTAGCAGTGGGGGTATGATGGATGGGTTGAGAAGACAGTTCTGCTCCTGCCTTGCTGTGTGGCCTTGGGCATGTCACTTGCCTTTTCTGTTCTTGGTCTCTTCATCCGTGCCAAGGTGCTGTCTCTGGGTTGACCCAGCTTAAGCATTCTGAATCTCCACTTGTCCCACCCCCCGACACACACACCAAGGTGGGGGTGGCCAGGCAGGAGCTGGACAGTGTCTGCTGGTCATGGAAAGAATGTGAGGGCAGGAGGCCCAGTGGGTGAGGTCCCTGGGCTGGGCAGCGTGCAGAGGGCAAGATGAGATCATGGTGTCTGGGCCTCCCAGCCTAGCACCGCTGGGCCTGGGCCCTCCTCCTGGTCATCCCCTGGGTCAGACCCTCCCCTGGGACCCAGACCCAGAGAGTCCAGCTGCCCAGATCCCTACCCACTCAGTAACTGAGTGAAACCAAGGCCCAGAGAGGGTGGGCATTGATCCAGCAAGTCCAAAGCAGATGCTGAACCCAGGGGTCCTGCTTGAGGAATGGATGTGAGGGGCTTGTCTTCATCTATTGACTATGCTGGGGGGCCAGAGAGGGGGCTCCAGCACAGAGTTGAGTCTGTGCACCTAGGTGTGGTTGGCCCTTTTGCATGTTCCTCCAGGGTGGGGATAGGTGGACAGGGACTTGGCCTTCTCCCCAAGGCCTCCATCCCAGTTCAGACACCAAACCTCCTCAGGGGGTGAGCTAGGCATGACTCTGGGGACTGCAACTGCAGAGACCTGGACTCCCCCAGCCCAGCCAGTCCCTGGGGCACAGGCTGGGGAGAGACTGCGTTCACCAGGTCTGCAGACCCCTCTTCACTGACGGAGCCAAGAAAAGATCCCCCGCCCCTCTGAATCTACTTGTCTTTGTCTCTTTATCACTGTCTGTCTGTCTCCACCATTCACACACACACACACACACACACACACACACACACACACGCACACACCCCTTGAGGCACACTGGCCTACAGGAGTACACACCCCAGTACTAACCCACACATGTGCCCCCCTTGCCCACGCCCCATACACAGGACGTCTGCCCCCTCCCGACCCATGAAGCTGCCCAGATGAGCCAGGACAGACCCTCATTCCTTCTCTCCTGCTTGGCGGGTTCCAGGGTGGGGGCCAGCAGGCATGGTGGGGAGGAGCCCCCCGCTGGCTAAGCCTTTTCCCAACCCCTTTTGGCTGCAGTTAGCCCCCACCCGCAGATCCCTCTCCACCCCGGCCCTGGAGTCTGTGGGAACCAGACAGTTCAGGCTGTCCAGCCGGCTTGCTTCCTCCAGGGCCCCAGGGGACCTGTGAGGGAGGAGGGAGCGGGAGACGCTGAAGTCAGTGGCCGCCTGCCGAGGAGGGAGGAGGGCCTCTCGAGACGACTGAGCTGCCCATGAAGGGGTCCCAGGCCCTGGGTGCCCAGAGTTCTTTTTTATCTCATGGGACAGAAGACCCTCCAGTCCCCCAGATGTCTACACCAACGACCAGACTGGGGGTGCCCCCAGCATCCCTAGCCCTTCTCTTGTCTTCCCATACCCATGATCCAGATGGAAGGATTGAGGCTTGGAGGAAGGAAGCCATTAGCCTCCGCTTCTCCGGGTACTGGGGTGTGTGGGGCAGTGAGATTTCGGGTCTCTATGTCTGTTCCTCTGGCAGGGGCCACAAACACCCCCACTTCTCCTGCCTCCACCCAAGGGGCAGCTAGAGAAGTTCAAAGGTCAGGGCTCAGTCAGTTTTGATCTGTACCCAGAACAGCCACGCTGCCCTCCCCATGAGAGAAACGCTTCCTTAAAGATCCACCAGGAGACCTCAGAGAGCTAGGAGTTCAGAGGAGGTCCCCCCCATTAGTGCAGGGGATCCAGGAGAAGGAGCCAGGTGCCTCCCTTTTGAGCTTTGGGTTCCTGTCTGTACAATGGGTTGCTGTTATTGTTAGGTGCTGTCGAGTCCATTGCGACTCATAGCGACCTCATATGACAGAGTAGAACTGCCACATAGGGTTTCCTAGGCTGTAATCTTTACGGAAGCAGACCACAGGGTCTTTCTCCTGAGGAGCCACTGGGTGAGTTCAAACTGCCAACTTTTCGGTTAGAAGCTAAGTGCGCTTAACCATTGCACCACCAGGACTCCTATACAATGGGTAGGGGGTGCCTTTTGAACTCTGGCATTCTAGGATTTACAAAAGGCCTCTCTTCTCTGGGGTCACCACCAGCTCCGCTCTGATTCTGGTTGCCACCCCTGTGTGTTCCCTCAAACTGCAGGTTGGGCGCCGGAGGGCAAAGGCAGCCCACGCGGTGCCTTCGGAGCCACACAGGCCTGGATATGAGTTCTTGTCTGCCACTCATTTGCCATCTGGATTTGGAGCGAGTGAGCCGCAAACTCTCTGAGCCTCAGTTTCCACCACTGTAAAATGGGGCTAACATTTCACACCACGCAGGATTCAGTGAGATAATACATAACAAGCCCAGGAGAGAATAAATACCACAGATGGTCAGAGTTCTTAGGACCGCTCATAAAACGGGTGCTGAGTCACAGGGTTCGGGGCTGGAGAATCAGCCCCGAAGGCCAGCCCAGCCTCAGCCCTGCCAGGTCTCTCCCGGTTGCCTCCCTCCTCCCCTCCCCCACTCCCGCTTGCCTCTCTTCCTGGGAAACTCCCTAAGAAAGTCCCCAGCAGGAGAAGGCTTCACGTGGGACATTTCAATCTGGGGGTCCCCTGCCCCGCCACACACCCCACAACCACCACCACCCCACAAACAGCCAGGCGTCCCGGCCCCCACCTCCCGACCATCCAGCAGGCTGACCCTCATCACCACACTGGCTTTATTGGCCCTGAGAGCCACAGAGTAAACCCCAAGGGGCCCCGCCTGCTTCCCCTCACCCCCAAGTTTGTCCTGAGGCCCTGGGGGCCTGGCTGAGCTTTCACTGCTTTGATCCTGGCTTCCTGTCCTGGCTGTCCTTGGCTTGCTGGGGTTCGGTCCTTCAAGAGCTCTCCTGGTCCCATAGTCAGGCGCAGCCTGGAGAGTGGTGGTTGCAGGGGTCCTGCAGGGACTGCCCAAGGCCAGGCTGCCTTCACTCAAAGAAGAACATTCCTGGTGTCCGGTATAGGCAGGGGGTCAGCCCCAGTGGGTAGCCGGGACCTCCCTGGACAGGGAAGCTTCCCGCAACCCAGGGTTCCTTAGGGTCAGCTGGCAGGGGCAGCGGGGCCCGGAGTGAGGCTGATGGGGTGGGGGATGCAGGGGAGGGGGCTGTGGAGGCCAAGAGGTGCTCAAGGCCTGGATCGGCCCCCATGCAGAAATTCAGTGCCTGCAGCCGGCACTGGTAGCTGTTCCCGATGCCTGCCTCGGTGGTCAAGATGGGTGTCGGGGTCTTGCCGAAACCCTCAGGCTCAGAGAAGCCAGCAGGGAAGCCAAATGCTGGGCATGGGGAGGGCGATGTGGCCACAGGGAGCTCCCCTGGGCCTGCCTGCTTGGGTGTGGGCATCTCTTTGGGCTCTGTGGGCAGCTGAGGCCTGGCATCAGTGGTTGCTGGGCATATGCTGGCTGGCAAGGCCCCCACCAGACCCCCAAAGCTTAGGGCCTTGGACTCTTGCAGCTCGAGTGGGAATGGGCACTGCCTGCCAGTTGCTGCGTCAGGAGGTCCTGGGTCCCGGCTGGTCACTCGGAGGGGTCCACGGCGGGTCTTGGCAGGGCCCTTGGTGCCCTCAGCACCTGCCCGCCGGGTGAAGCGCCGGCGTCTGCGCAGGAAGCTGCCGTGCTCGAACATGTCGTGGCAGTCGGGGTCCAGTGTCCAGTAGCTGCCCTTGCCTGGCTTGCGGTCATCACGGGGCACCTTGACAAAGCACTCGTTGAGCGACAGGTTGTGGCGGATGCTGTTCTGCCAGCCGGGCCGATTGTGGCGGTAGAAGGCGAAGCGGCTCATGATGTAGCGGTAGATGCCGCTGAGTGTGGCCCGCTGGCCTGGCGAGCTCTGGATGGCCATGGCGATCAGTGCTATGTAGCTGTAGGGAGGCTTGGTTGGTTCTGACGCCGGGGCCAGGGGCCCAGGCAGGGGCTGCTGCTGCATCCTGGCCAGGCTGTCGGCTGCCAGGACCACAGGGGCCAGGCACTGCATCCAGGGCTGGCGTCCGGTGCAGCCTGCCCAGGCTGGTTAAAAGGCCTACTGGCCCAGCCTCTCAGCCTGGAAAGGCAAAAAGGGGTGGGCCTGCCGGGCTGCCCTCCCTTCCTCCCGGGTCTCCCTCCCCCAAGGCCCAAGAGGGGAGGGCAGGAGAAGCTGGGACTGGGAAGCTGTGAGCAGCTGCCAGGGGTGAGATGGGAGGGAAGGGACTGAGACCCTCAGCCCACATGTGCTGGGGTGGTGGCTGGGGAGGGACAGGATGTGAAACTGAGTGAGACAGGGACAGAAAAAAAGAAAAAGGAGAGACAGACAGAAACAAAGAGAGAGATAGAGACATACAGAGATGGAGAAATAAAAGGAGAGACAAGACCGAGACAGAAAAAAATAGAGAACCAGAGAGACACACAGAGAGAAGATAAATGGTACACAGAGAAAGGTGGAATCACTGTGCGGGGCAGAGAGACATAAAGAAATATACAGAGAGAGACAGGTACAAGCACGAGGAGAGGATGGGGAGGAGAGGGGAGCGAGCGGGCGGACCCGAGAGCTGAGGGAGGCAGAAACTGCTGGGCTGAGCAGCCGGAGAACTGTCATCCCAGGCAGAGTGAGAACGTGAGAAGCGCACCTCTCAAGTCTCCACCCCTAGTTCCCTTTTTCTCCTCTCCTCCTCACAGGCCTGTGGTCTGCTTTCTCCTCCGCGCGGTGCAGAGCCCTGGGGTCACACAAATCCCTGCGCTCTAGCTGGCACTGCGGTATATCGAGGGAGGGGCGCCTGGGAGAGTTCTGCTGTAGCCCTGGCGCCCTCTAGTGAGTGGTGTGGGGAGGACAGCCAACTGGGCAGAGAGACAGCCCTCC